ATCTAAACCTGCCACGTGTAAAAAAATATTCAACAATTAATAATTTAATAAAATTAATTTAATTAAGGTTATTCACATATTTTCCGTAATAGATACTGCCTACTTAAGGCCAGGTATTCATCAATTTTTGTCACGATGCCGCCTCATTTACAATGTCTAGATTTCTACGCTAGATAATGCCGCTAAAATGTCTTAAGATCACTATATGTACAATATTCTACAAAATGATTCCAAGAGGCTCACCGTGTCCAGAATCTTAACTGTACCCGTGGAGCATAAAAAACTTACCATTGCCAAAAGGAGATATAACATTTTGCAGTTACTTTTATTTCATACAACAATATTTTATATAATAGTGTAGAGTGTATTAAATTTGCATTCTAGCTAAATGATTGTTCAATAACAGTCATAGTGATGTTGTTTGTATTGAAATTAAAATAATAATTAAATTAAAATGTAAAAAACTAATAATCATATCAAAATAACTTTTTGCTTTCCTTATTAATTGTAAACAAGCGTGTGCAACTATGGAGTGAAGTGGTCTTTCCGAAAACTGTACTATAAAATTCAAAGTTTTTATTATGCAGTTTTCGTTATTTCTTATTTATGTTTTATAAAAATATTTAATGGCAAATAAAAACGAAACATTCTTACAATAAATAATACTTACGTGGAATAATCTTATCACTTCTATTTTTCCCAAGATTAGATGGATGTAATGCAGTTAGACAATCGGTTGTTTTCAATAATGGACATATTTTCGACAGTTTCTATAAAAAGTAACCTATTAATCTTTATGAAATTTCTATTTCTATTTATAATTTTTTAAATATAGATAAAAGCTTAGATTTTAAAATATAATGAATTAGCTGAAAATGCAAAGTATTCGTAAATTGTTTACAAAATAGTTTTATTATAAACTGAATGCTCACGTCAAACAACATAATTACCACCTGAAAACTGTTAGACAGAGGCAATAAAAAAATCCTTATGTAAAAACATTTTAATATTTAATAGCTTAAATACTTTTAAGATGTTTTGAAACGTTTATTACGCATTTTATGGATTATAATAAATATTAATTATTATAACTGTATATTGATGTATCGATTGTATATATTGGTGTACGAACTATAATTAATAATAGAATAGTGTACTAAAGTCGTTATTAAGCTTGTTTTTATACAGGCCGATATATTTTAAATAAAAAATTAAAAACATTTTATAGTAAAACTTTTCAGGATTTATCCATAAAATTTGTTTTAAATAAATTTAATAAAATTAAACATAAAGTAAAAAAAATAATAGCATTTAGAACAACATAAACTTTGAATCAATCTTTCCGATTTAAATTCAAAATATAATATTGATAATTATATTTAGATTTTTAGTTTGGTTAATTGCTTGGTGTATCGTTAATAACTCTCATAAACAAAAGTGTATAACAGTATAGAATTGAGGTCATTTCAAATTAACTTCTCATAAGTTCAAATAGTCTGTAAATAAATAACAGTCTGTGATGTTAAAAAATCTGTAAAATATTGCCAAAATTACCTCAAATTGGACGTGAAATTGAGTAAGATTAGTTTTGAGATCGACTGTTTTTAAACGATTAAGAATGGGAATAAACTCTGAACAAGTAATTGACGTTTTTTCTGTACATAACGCTTCGATTAAACACTGACACGCCAGGTAATATTGATCCTATAAATAGAAATTAGTGACCGTGGTTAAAATTTCATAATAAAGAATTCTATTAGAAAACAAACACGATATAGAATAAATACCATCGTTTCCACCATATTAATTCTCTGTTGTCTCATTATATGCAATTGTGAAAGCAGATCTACGTGATTTTCGGCCGCTGCCATATCCAACATGCTATCTATTAAAATTAATGTTCCAGTTCGTCCAATTCCGGCACTAAAAGAATAAGTACGTTTATTAATATAAATGAAGTAAAAAGTTGTTATTCAATTCGTTACCTTGTTTATTATTGTGTGTAAAAAACTGCAAATTTAAAATGCACGATGCACGAAATTCTTTGAAATTCAATTACTTGAACTAGTTTTTGTAAGCTAATTATAATTTTTATGGTCGCGTTGACTTAACAGAGCATCAAATAAGGGAGATTTATAAGGGATTTTTATTACAGAACATCATCATCCAGGGTGCATAGTGACAAGACTCGCTATAACATTCGCTGAGATTTTGTGAAACCTTCCATTGATTTATAATTACTAATTTCGTTAAACATTTTGAACGTTTACTAATATACTATTTGTATATAAGATAAATATTTATTTTAACTCGTTATTATATTTTTATTTATTTTAAATTGTAATTTCTTAATCTACTTAATCAAATTATTATTTCTTATATTTATCTTACCTACTATGGAACACAATTGGACTTTTGTCTTTGGGCTTATAAGTTCTTGTTTTTAATACAAAATTACTAACTACTATTGCATATATTGGAACACCGTGATCTGGCCACGTAGTAAAGTGAAATTGCTTAATTTCTCGAACTTCGTTTTCCTGTGAAATAAGTACAGCTTCGTCTTAACTACAGTAAACAGCTACTTATAAGTGCATGGCATTCGTTGATGTATATGATTATACTGTATTTGAAAATCTGTATAAGATAGGCCAGGTAATAACTATAGATTTAATTAAGGATCATATCAAGATGGATGAAATATTACTTTTTATTTACCTTGCTAACGTGGAATGTTCGAATAACATAATCAGCAAATATCTCGGAATTCAATAATGTCACAGTTACGGAACCAAATGTCCCTCTCGAATCCGCCCAATATTTTTCACACTTTGTCTAATTAAAACATAAAAAAACCCATCAAATACATTATAAATATCACAAATTTAATTTAAAATAAAATAATAAAATCAAAAATTAAATAACAGTTTTATAAAGGAAAGAATTGAGCGACCTTTCCATTTTCTACTAAATTCGTTGATATGATTATTTTGCAGACTTTTTCCTGCCAAATCATTCTCCAAAAGTCGTTAACAGTTAAAGGTTTGGGACCTTCGATTTAAATTAAATAAAGATCTTTAGCATTTTATGAATTAATTAAACACTTTATAATCGTAAATTTTTTACCTTGAGTAGCGATGTATCTTTTGGAAGATTTATATCCCTAATAATTAAATTTTAAAAAATGTATGTAGACTAGCAAGGTTTCGTTCATAAATACTATTTTGAAGCTACTCACATCTATATAATTTGCATTGATATAATCGGAATACGGGTCGTCTGGTAACTTCTCTAAAATAACTCGCGTGGAATCATCTAAAATTTTTATATTTAGAAATAAAATAAGTTTTGGGGATACTATAGATTACCACCTACGGAATTTCGGGACTTTGAGTATATATCTTTACTAAGGGGACCGAGAGGAGTTCAACGATACCCTACTTTTAGACCGGAGACGAAAAATAAGAAAATTATCATACTTTTTTCCGGCGATCGCGAGATGATTGGGAGTCGAGTCACTCTCTCCGCTAAGCCTATCGCGTGTTTAACAGGCAGTTCGGCAAGTCGGCCATATATACCTTTAACATCTTACCACTGTGATTGCAGTTGGAGTTAAGTCCTTTTCGCCTGATCCGCGCTCCTCGATCTCGAGGTGTACGGTCCCTCAGCCTCCGACACGCTCGCTATCGCTCGCGGTCGGCTAGTACTACGCGCCGCTTTCGCTGCTTGTCCAACAAACCTAACCTACATGACCTTTACCGCTAGATGGCGGCAAAATCTGAAATGGCGTAAAATGCACTGTGAAAGACAAGAAATGTCTGCTTTCCGTGGTGAGATTCTGACTTGCTCAAAGAAAGTACCAGAAGAGATTTGTTGTTGCTGTCAGTGCTTTTCTGCATCGCATACGTCCCCTTTCTTTGCCTTTATGTTTCTCTTCGGTCAACACATAATTTCATCCAATTTCTGCATCTATTATACATTTTTACTTTTCGAAGAATACTTTGATCTCGTAACCACTCGATACATGTTTCCCTATATTTGACTATTTCTAATGCTAGCTTAAGAAAGTTCATTTTCAAAACTGCCGCGTAAAAAATAGTAAATTAAGCAGACGACACCGTAATTGGAAGCAACGCCACCTAGCGATGAAAAACTGTGCAAACCAAACTAGTTAAGTAAATAAATAACTTTGTTAATTTAGTTAAATAACTTAACCTAACATAATTAACCTAACTTAGTTAAATAAATAAAACAAAATTAAAATAAATAACTAACCTAAATAGAAAAAAGAAAATTAAGCAGACGACACCGTAGTTGCTAGTACCGCCATCTTACGGTAAAGTCTGCAAACCATTAAAATAAAGCACCGTGAAAGGCAAGAAATTGTAAATATGATAACTTTCTTATTTTTCTTCTCCGGTTCAAAAGTAGGGTACCGTTGAACTCGTCTCGGTTCCCTCAATTCAAATATATACTCAAAGTCCCGAAATTCCATAAGTGGTAATCTATAATACAGCCTAAGTTTTTAAATAACATTTTAATATGCGCTAAAATAAGAAGAACCAAAAAAAAAAAAAAAAACAAATCACTTACAGGGCAAAAGATTTCCATAACGATTCTTCAGTTTATTTTCCGGAATTTTTGCTGTTTTCCACGATTTATTCTGTCCTTTTTCTACGGACTAAAATTTTCCATTGTTTAAATATACATAAAATGTATTATATTTCTAATAAAATTACTGTAAACTAACCGTAAATTCTTTTCTTAATGTTCCATTTCGTAACGCTGTCTGGACAAAACTTTCTAATTCAAATACGGGAATTTTTTTACTTTGAATTTCGGATATTTCTTCTAATTCTGCATTTTCTTCTAAATAACGCATTGTTAAAGTTATTGATTCCCCTTCTATATAATATATTACTATATATCAATTCAAAAGATTTTGCATATTTTCAATATTATATTACAGTCGAACTCCCTATAACACTGTTGATAATTCCGTTTTATATGAAATCCGTGTTGTACGAGTCACTTAGATTTTACAAATACGTGAGGCGTTCACAGCCCGGCACACGTATTTGTAAAATCTAAGTGACTCGTACAACATGGATTTCATATAAAACGGAATTATCAAGTGTTATAGGGGGTCGACTGTATTTCTTTTCATCGTTTGATTGTTTTAACTATGAAATGTTACTAAATAAGAAAATATAATTCTCACCTTTTTTTGAATTGCTAATATCTAAATCTTTCCTTACCGGAGAACATTTAAATAATTTTGAATGTCTACAATAAAAATAAAGAGAATTTTATTTTCAAAATTTATAAATGAAAATTCTGTCAATAATTTCAATTAAATAATGACAATTTTCGAAATAAATTTTGAATACAATAGGGCAATTTTTTAATTAATATTTACCTCAAACTTATAAATACAATGATTAGAATTATAAAAGTAGAGCACAGTAAAACTCCAATTATAGCTGGAATGTTGGATCCGTTGATAGTAGAACGATCTGGATTCTTAACTATAAAATTATATATAATTATGTTTTTAAAATCGGAATAGAAAGAACAATATAAATCAGAGAAAATTTAAATAAAGAATTGCTTTTATAGATAGTTTATTGAAGTTGTATAAATGACTAACCTGTAACTGCTTCTGTCAAATACTTATATCCTACACGTTGTTCCTAAATATTTATAATTAATATTTATTCAATAAATAATATTGATCAGTAAAAAAAAATTAATTCAGTCAATTTTAAAATTTTGTAAATTTCAACTGAGGATAAGTACTCTATATATGTATATTTTAAATTGTTAGTTTTAAAATTATTATGTATATAAACTAATTATATATTTAGCTTCTCGTTCCTACTTTTTGTTTGATTTATAATATGCTAATTAGGTCAACAAAAAAGCATACAATACAATGTTGAAGGGTATTGACGGTTACGTTAGCTAAGTAAAATAACCAGTGCCTTTATGTGATATTTGTCTCGCTTCTTGTATTTCAAACAATAATAAATGACAAAAATTGAATACACAATATAAAGCATTCACAAATTCTAACGGCTATTCACAAACTAGAGGCGTTAGAAATTGAAAATCTGAGAAGTTCCAGAGAAACATGCAAACATTGGTCACACAAAGACTGCAGGGGTTAGAAACTCCGAATAATTACAGATATGATTATTATTCTATGTTAACCCTCAAGTGAAATTAAGAGTCAATGCCTAACCATTAAGCGGTAACACCCGAACTTGTCAGGTGTTACCACTTAATGGTTAGGCATTGACTCTTCCGATGATATACCTCGAGCATTGACAAATTCCGATGATATACCTCGAGCATTGGCAAATTCCGATGATATACCTCGAGCGGTAACACCCGAACTTGTCGAGTGTTACCGCTCGAGGTATATCATCGGAAATTGTGAAGTCCCGGACAGAGTACAAATCCTTCATTAAACGTACAAAAATTCAATTCATTTAACATAATATTTTGTTATAAAAATGTGTGAAATAGATCTGTCGCGAAGGTACGAAATAAACAATCCCCGTGAGGTTACGAGTTGACGCTAAATAACGATTGGAATATTTAGAATGTCAATCAGAAAGATCAAGCTTTGATTCCGACGCTTACAAGACTATTATTATAATTATTTTATAGATAAAAATAATTCCTCGATAACTTACCCCATTGAATTCACTTAGTACAGCTAATCCAATTTTATATTTTCCTCCAGTAGTAAGAGGAGGGTTATAAAAACCGTTGTAATGTTTTCCATCTCCTACAGTAAAATTTATTCCCGTAGAAGATATTTGCTGAGGATAAAACTTGGCAGCGACATAATTTTCTCTCGATTCGTTATAACTACGAAATTCGTCTGATACAACTCTTCTTTTTCTTCTATTTTCTTTTGACACCATCACAAAGTATGCACTGAAATTACATATCCAAAATGTTAGTTTAAATTTGTTATTATTATAAAGACAAATAAAGTAAAATTATATTTTTATAATTCTTGATAATGCTTACCTAATAGGACCTCGATTAAAATAAATTGGTTTTATCGAAATAATTAAAGTCGTATTTGTGATGCTAGTAACTATAGGTTCGATTTCAATTACTGGTACTAGAATCAAGAAAAATAGTTTAAATATCTTATAAAATAACAAATTTTGATTTAAATTACAAATAATAAATAAATTGATAATGTTCTAATTAATGGATATCACTTTTAATTAAATCAAATAGAAAAGTCTGTAAATTGATATTAATATATATCTCTCCCCTCTTATTGTTAATAATATTAAAATTATAATAATTCAATATTACCTGAAATTTTTGTTGTAAAATGGAAAAACAGAGGTTTTCCGTAACCAATTTTATTACCAGCTTGTATGGTAACATTATACTTAGTGGCAGGATGCAAATTAATAAAAGTAAAATTTCTTATATTCGGATTTATAATCTTCGTTTGTGTAGATCCAATGATATCATCACTAAAGGAATCTGCTGCAATGATGCTTATCTACAAATAATAAAATAAAATTTATTAATTTTATTAGAATTTTAAAATTCACGTTTAAAAATCACTAATATATTATTTAATATATTCACTTACATATTTATCTAATTATTCGAACTTGAATAAGTATTAAAAATTTAATTTTTACTTACAGAATTCAATAATAGGACCATACAATTAAATCTATGATGCAATAGCTTTGAGTATATATTCTTGTACAATTACGTATAAACTAGGGATCGAATATTTGATAATTTGGATTATTCATCATGTAACATCATATAAATATAACAATAGCGTAGTGTAATTTCCATCGTTCTACAAAGAGGCAGATGTAGCTAGATGCAGACGGCACTGTCCACCAGGAACCTAACCTTTAAAGGCCTGGTTGTTTACTAATATCTTGGCGAGGAAATAATAATAATAATATTGTCATTAATATACCGTACATATATGTCGTAACAACATGCTAAAATTTGCCATTTCATAAATTGCCTAACCATTTTTTGAAGTGATAGAGCATCCTATAATCAGGGCCGCCGTAAGCGGGCGTGCAAGGCGTGCACCGCACGCGGGCGGCACGTCCAGGGGGCGGCAAAGAGCCTTTCTGGCAAGTTCAGCATAGGTAGTCGTAGTTAAACAAGGGGGCGGCATAATCGGTATTGCACACGGGCGTTCAAACAGCTAGCGGCGCCCCTGCCTATAATAGACATTTGTTTCAGAATCTGTCTAATTGTTTGAGTCTCTCCTTGAAATGCTAACCTTATTTATGCAGATGGTGTAAATATTATATAAATCAGCATGTATTTAATGATACTAAGCGTTTCGTGTAATATATAACGGCTTATTAGGACTTGGTGTAAATTGAATTTTGAACAACTTGGAACAAGTAATTTTTCTACACTTCTGTGTATTGTACTATGCAGATTCATAATACGTGTCCTCAATAGAAATTTTTATATATTTTACATTTTCTTGTTTTTTTGCTCTTTGCCTTTATCCTGTGAGTAGCCTATTAAGAGGAAGGACATTTTTCCCATATTCATTGTGGGTTCGGCCAGATCCACAATTGAGCGGCTGAGTGGGGAGGGACGGAGCTTTACGTAGCTGCTCATGAAAAATTCCTGGCATTGCTATTTCGAATTTGATCAAGACTTTTTCAAAGAGCGGTAGGCTGACACATTAATGGTCTCGGCAATCCGACTATTGCACTCCCAACTTTAACTTCTCCGTATTCTTTGAAGTAGAAAATACATCTTAATGATTAGCCAATTCTAATACTGAACCTCAGTCTCAGGTTTTTATTTATAATTTTAATAGGTTTCGTGGTTTGAAAGAATAATAATAATACCTTATATCCTGTCAAATTTCCATTCGATCCTGATGGCAAGGACCAAGTAAGATATACCGAACGTTCCGTAACATTTACTATTTCTGCTGTTTTAGGATGATCTGGCACTGAAATGAGAAAAACAATGTTCTATGAGGAAATTGAAAAATAATTCGATTTTTATAAATATATTTAATGAAAACAAAAATAACAATAATAAGACATAAAAGAAAGACATATCTGCTTACCAGATTCTTTTGTTTCAGAAAGAATAACGGCTTTTTCACTTCCGTAATAAACATTTTTGTTGTACGCTGTAATCTGAATTATGAAATTTTATTGAAATGTAAGTGATAAAATATGAAATATTAGTAACTGAAGCAGTTTAAATGTTCTGTAAAAGTTTATTTCTGTATATTCTGAAGAAATTTTTATGGCTATTCGTTTACAGGAACAAATTCCTGTAGAAATGAATCCAAAATTATATCAGTTTTATTTCTTATATTTCTAACTAATCCTTAAGATAGCTTTTTTTTCCTCAACATTTTTATATATAAGAACGTGCTTGTTATATGATTACTTATAATTAAGTACAGTATTTAATAGAAATATCATGTATATTGTATATAAACGGCTGTAAACAATTACCTTACATTTATCATTCTTTCAGTAAAAGTTACATCTTTCACTTTTACTATACTAAATTCAATTTACCGGATGATTCTAAATATACGCGAAAAGTTTCAGGGACTGATCATAAAAGAGCATACACAAGTTTTAAACATATGTTTAAAACGGCATACTTGTAATAACCGTTGAAAATGACCAAATATAATACAGGATTCCATCCTCCGCCATTTTAATTGCCGCGCGCGTTTACAAATACCAGGAGTGTGTCGAATTATTTCACAGGATGCGACAATTCATTAAACATCCTTTAACATTAAAACTACGAGAACTTTGTCCTAACTGAAGAGCAACGACGGCTTGCGAACATATATTAGATCATTAGTGTTCAAATACTTCCTGAACTTACATAATAAACGGTTGACGTGGTGGGACCCTCGTTACACGTCCCTTGTTAATGTAGTTCAAAAATATTACTATATTTAACAAAAAGAAAAAAATCACAAAAATAACCTAACTGAATTGAAATTTTTTCTATGTTCTTACAATGAGAATCCGAGGTGCTAAGTAATGCAGAACATTAAATGTAAAATTTTTTCCTTTAATTCTCAAATAATTAGCACCTAAAGAAGCATTCCTCCTCTAGATTCTTGCTTTTGACATATTTTTGATCTTCAAACATCATAAAATACAGTATATTAATTTCTGTGTTGTCATTCTTTATCTAAATATTTTTAATGCACATATTTTTATTTTCTTCAGAATTTAATTAAATTAATTAATGTAAATAGTAATCTGAACTCTAAGCATACTGTTACTTATATCACACTTTAGCACTAATACTAGACTTTTAGTCACATGTACTGTACAGTACATGTGATTAAAGTCTAGTATTAGTGCTAAACTGTGATTATAATTATTGTAATGATTGTGTTCTGTTGCACGTATTTTACGTTAGATCATATATATAGGCCAATATATATATATTTCAATAGATTTGTATTATCTCAGAAACCTTAGCTAATACACTATTTTTGAACTTAGCAGACGAAAATCATTATGAATTGAAATATTTCGTTTATGAAGCAAATAAAATTTGTAGACAAATCTAATTATATAGCCTAAATTACTCTAATTACACTTAATTGATTACACTTCAAATATTGATAAATGTACTGTACCAATTATTCTTTAAAATATTGCTACATTCATTAACATTAATTATTTAAATTCTTTATTTTCAATCGATTATTCGAACTTTCCATGCTCACAAAAATAAAAATAAGAAGAATAACGTAAAATGAAAAGGAAAAAATTAAATTTAATACAGTATACTTTTAATCACTATTAAATAAATATAAATAATATAATAACAACAATACCTCAATTTTATATTTTTGATTTCCTTTTAGATCAGTTAAAGTGTAGCAATGTCGACTTTTTCTGATATCGTCTAAGCACTTAACTTCATTAGTATTAACTACTTTTTGTGTTTTATGGCAATAAGAACTTTCAAGTGAGCAGTACTCTATAACATATTTCTGAAGTACTCCATTTGGAGGATAAGGAGGAATCCAAGACATTGATAAAATGCTTTCCGTGCTGAGAAAAATCGTCAGATTTGTAGATGCCGGTGGTTCTTCGTGCATAAAAAATAGTTTTTTTAATATTAGTTCAAATGTAAAAACTTCAATAACTAAAACTCTATTTGTCTATCAGATCTAATAGTTAATAAAATACTTACTGTCACTTTTTGTTGTAAAATTAATTTTAGCAGAATATTTGCTAAATCCGATTTCCGTTCCCGCATAAACTCGTGCCGTATAAACAGTGAATGGAACAAGATCATCAACATATTCGTAAATCTGTGTTGTTTTTCCACTTCTCTTCCTTTTTTCCCAAGGATCCTTTGAATCCAAAACGTATTGATATTCTATTATTTTTCCATAAGAGAGAGAACACACAGGCGGTTTCCATTCTATTCCCACGAAATTCTCTTCAATTCTGAAAACTTTTACGTTCTGAGGAGGTCCACCGGGAACTGTATTCAAAAACTTTCGCCTTATATATTTTTAACTTTTGATATTTATCTTTAAAGCTACAGGACTTACCACTTTCTTTGGTCATAACATTTACAGAAACTTCTTCCCCTTCTTTTACTGTTAGTGCAGAAACACTAATCGTGTATTTAGAAGTTGGATAAGTTTCAATGATAATTGAATTTTCGTTTGCGTCAACAACTTTCGTTAAAACAGAATTATTAACTGATGTGCAAGAATGAAGCCATTTTTCTTGTCGATAACGTACGATGTATTTGACGATGATTCCGTTCTCTTTGTTAGGCTTGTCCCAGGTGAGATAAACCCGACTATCGGTAACATTGCGTGCATTTAAATTTTGCACCTTTGAAGGAGCTAAATTAAAATGAATTTAACCTTAAAAATTAAAATAACAAAACATCTTATTTAATAAAATATTTCTAACTTACAATTATTTTTGATAAGCTATAATATTGGAAAGTGTTATTAAACTTTATATTTTACTCAATTTACATAATGTATTTTTAAACAAATTTTTACAGATTTAATTCAACCTTATTACAAGCATAAATTTGTAATTATAAAACATAAAACAAGTATTCTATAAGGATATACAGAGAATAGCGTTTTCAGATAGTCTACTGTCTAGAATAATGAATCTATAGTAACAGCAGATGCTGATTTGTATATTGTCAGTTGAAATTGAAATTATCCAGGCTGCAAGTTCCTCGTGACTGAGATGTAGTTCATGTGTCTTTTCTATCATAGGATAACAATGTATGATTCTCATCTTTCAAGATGAGAATCATACATTGTTATCCTATATCTGATACATGATTGTTATCATATCTGATACATGATAACCTAATAAGATATTAGTTATAAAGACTATTTTAGAATTAAAGTAGGCAAAAATGTAGGTACAGTTTTTGTAGGTACACGAAGACAACACTTATAAACTTAAAAAATACTAATTTGTAAAATGGTAACTGCTGGCGTCATCAAATGTACATTTAAATAATATTACTGTATTAAAGTGAGTATTAATCGATTTTTTCCAGTTTTAAAAATAAAAAAAGTTGGTTTTGCCCTGTATTCGAACCCCGACTTATATTCGAGTCCGATTAAAGTTTCTTTCGATTTTGGTAACTAGTAATCAGTGACAGACAGGCCAGGGTGTCAGCTTTCCAGATGGCAAGCGAACACCCTTAAACATTTGACAATAATTAAAAAATAGAAGAAACTATAAACCTCTTCGTTACGTCCTTTCACACACCTCAAAAATACAACTCTGTTCATTAATACTCGTATATTACTTTCCCAGCTCTGTTATATATAACAGAGGAAAAGTATGGCGATCGGTCAAAAAATAACCCCTCTCCAAAGATTCTTACAATTTGGATTCAGAGGACCTTGAAACGTCCAGAAATGCAGAGAAAAAAAATTTGAGGGTTTTTTTCTGTATGTGTACAAAGGATGTTAGTGTCTGGGGGCAAGATTTTGTTTACTCTCTTTGAAGTTAATAGTTCTTGTGTTTTTTATCGAAAATGTCTGAAATTTTGTAGATAGCTTTGTGTATTATGGAAATTTATGCTATTAAATTTTGGTGATTATAGGTAGAGAGGGGAAGAGTATCTCCCCTGTCATCATTAAGTAGGGTCTTACTTAATGATGATTTTACACGTTATTAGAATTTACAAAATTTTACAAAAACCATTCCTACCCTCAAAATTAAGTGTTTTACTATTTATAATAATTAAAAATATAAAAAGTTTTTTAAATAAAATATCATAACAGATGACGCCACACGCAGTTTTAAATGTCACCGGGAAAGTTAAGCAACTCAGTGTTGAAATTTTTAAATTTGCTCCAGAATTTAGCAACTTTTGTGCAAACAACATGCAAGAGAATGACTGTATGGATAGAAGTTGTTAGAAAACATCTAGCACAAAAAAGAAAAAAAATGAAACGAGTAAAGGTAATGGGTGAGACATGATCAAGAAAATCCAATGCAGCAACAACTATATTTGAACCTTTTGATGATGCAACTGTCAGTACTTTTGTAAATATATTCACATGCTTATCAATGATACGAAATTCAGACAAGTTTGATGCAAAAACAAAATAAGAAACAAATGTTTACTAAATAAAGTTTTGTAGATTCAGCTACAACAAAGTTGAAGGAACAGACAAAAACATTTGATAATTTCACAGCAAGTTATTAGAATTTGTAAATAAATGTATGTCAAGATATCAGAGTTGAATATGGATGAAAATTAAACATTAATAATAAAAGGTTAACTTATATTCAAGACCTAATTTTTTCAAACAGTAAGGATTCTAAAATAGATTTACAGTATATTCGAGCCAATATAGTATATTATAAAAAATAGCAAATGTCTATGACTACAGACATTAGAGTTGTGATTTTAGTTTGTATCAATGATTTGAATAAGACATAAATATAGATTGGTCATTTTACATGATTTAAGAGAGGGTGTGAATGTACAGAGGGTGACAGTACACAAGTCTGTTTTCACACAGTTTCCACAGTTTAATCTTACAGAAGAATGTTCCTCGTTTACAAAAGTAGATGTACTGTACCTAGACCTATACTGTAGACCTATGACAACTGAACCGATTCTACAGTATTACTGATGTTTAATTGAAAGTATAAATACAAAAGTTTATTTCTGTATGCACACATAAGGGAAACACAACATAGAACGTTTAATGTGTTTCCTATAATTGTTGTGAAGTTTATCACAATTGCATCTAAATAAAATTATTAACTACTAACATAACAAAGTACTATAATATTATTATAGCAGTTATTTAATTTGAAATAAACAATATCAAAAAATAAGTAACTTTTAGTGTACACTTTATAGTGTATTTGTAGACACAATACCTTTAAATTATTTTATTCATAATTCATAGTCGTATTTTTTTCATAAATCAAAATGTTTGAATGCCTATAAACTCATAGCACATAATGTTGAAGAAATAAAAATGAATAAAATTAAATTTAAAAAAACTTTTAGGAAATTCCCAAAAATATTCTGCTTTTAATGTATTAATTTATTTACACATTTAAGATTGAATTTAAATAAAGTATAAAAATAGCATTAAAGTTTAAATAACTGAATGCATTTTAAACTTTAAAATGAAATAATTAAATAGAACTTGCCATCTTGAGCGGAGACAACATTTATCAACGATGACCATTCACCAACACCAAAGTCGTTAGCAAATCTCAGCATTATATTCCATTTCGTAAATGGCTTCGTTTTTATGATAAAACTGTTATTTACCGTGTGATTAAGGAAGCTTTCTCCATTAGAAGAATTATAAAATATAATAACTCTAATATAATTGCAATTCCAAGTTTCTTGTGGAGGAAACTGAAATTTAAACAGAAGAAAATTTTACTTTTTTACAAAAAATTATATTAGTATAATCATAAACAGTATACGTTAGAATGTTATAATAATAAAACTACAGGAACATTCACAGAATTATGTTTTATTAGAGTAATATAATACTTTAGATTTTAAAATTTGTTTAATTAAAGTTAATCAAAATAAACGTCGGAATGTTATAATAACACCTTTTTACCACTACGCACATTATGTGAACTTCACAAAAATTCACATTCGAATGAAGAAATTGTAATAATTTCAAGTTAAATAATAAATTATTAATATTACATAGCCACAAAAGATGGATTAAGCGAACGTAGATAAACGTTTCTCGAAAGAACCATTATGTCACTAATCACTCGTGATCTATTCCTTAAATCGGGATGAAGGCTCAGAAAAACGAGCATTTGAACACGAAAGACTTTTTCTACATCAGATCCTAGGTATCTGATCAGCTTGCTGAGAATTAGAAATGTAGGCTACTTCTCTATATACTGTACTTCTAATAGAAGATGTTCAGTGTGGATGAGGTACTGACATCACATGTAGGATGAAATCTAGGGTTTTAATCTCACCGTAACTGTTCAAGAAAAATTTATCCTTGACAATTTAAAGTTTCGATCTAGATTATCTTTAACCTGGAACAGTGCTTTATTCAAGTCGTTTTTGTGGTCTGTTTGCTGTTTTCTTTTTTAATTATTCTGTCTATAACTTTTATTGGAGCGATATTTAATTGTGTAATTATATTTCATCCATAAGAGAACAGAAAATAATTGAAAGATTTTTACAATAAATATAAATACTTGAATATAAAACTGTTGTAATAAAATCCAGCTGTCTACACGATCGTAGCAACTGTAGCCATTCATATTTATTTTTAATCAACATTCATAATAGTACATTTTTAACCTTGTAGTTTGAATTTTTCATTGGTGTAATTAATCGTTTAACTTAAATATAAAATACGTCATGTCGAATTGAACACTTGAAATTCTAAAAGTATTTTATAGCCACTCATTTTCTATTCTATGACATATTTTAATCTTAAAAAGATGGCTGTGAAATGGACAGAAAATGCTCAGTGTTATTTTAATTTATATATACAAAATTTAAAATATACCTTCCAATTTACGATTATTTGTGTTGGAGACGTCGTATTTACTGAAATGTCCTTTGGTAGCTCTTCCGGAGCTGAAATGAAAAGTATTTTAAAATTATGAAATCTTAATATTAACCCAACAACGACTACAGTATATATATTAATAATATATCTATATTAAATACAGTAGACCCCCCTATAACGCTTAGATACGTTCCACGCTAACCGAAAATTACGTTGTAGGAACGATTAAATACATGAGCCAATCGCAGCCCGATAGGTGGGAACTTTACGGACTAAGGCTGTTCGAAAGGTTTTCTTCTATAAAATTAACCGATTCTAGACTAATTCGACTCAACATTTCCAAAACACGTATAATTTTTTGGGAGTAATCCGTATAAACTATGCTATAAACAAAAAATTATAGGATTACTTACCGAGTGTGTACCGTTCGACTACGCCCGTTGTTCAAAGCTTGTCTTCGTCGCGGAACAGCACACGAAACGGCGGCCGCGATATCTGATAAATAATTTATCGCAGAAAGATAACTTGACCTTTGGAGACATCATTAATATAAATAATTTTTATGGCCGTTGAATAAGAAGTGTTTCTTTCACAAGAAATGTATAAAATTAGTGCTGTATTAGACTTACGGTACCTAATTTACATACTGTGCAGACGATAATAAACTCAACTTACTAGCCTAAAATCTCCGTAGCGTGTTGCCAGGCGGCAGAAAGCATATATATAATTATAATAAAGTTACAATAAATTAAGTTAATATATAATTATATATACAGTACCTAATTTATATATAATTAATATATAATTATATGTACAGTACCTAATTTATATATAATTTATATATAATACTAAACAGACGAGAGCAAACTCAATTTAGCCGCTCCGTAGCGTGGCGCAGGGTCGGAGGTAAATAGTTCGGCTGCTCATCCACTATTGGTCCAGACTCTATCAATCTTCTCGCGAAACGACGTTATAGGAGGTACGCTATACGAAAGTTTCTACAATTTTTTCGCTACGTTATAGGAATTGTCGTTATAGGAACGTACGTTATAGGGGGTCGACTGTATATTTGTGTGTGTATTTACCTGCACAGATTGTTGTTATTTCCAAAGTAGGTATACCGTTCAATTGTGCATGTCCACTTATGTCTTTAATAATAACTCTTATGTTGTACGTTGTGCCAGTACGGAGATTCTCCAAAATTGTGGCATAATTTTTATTAAATATTCTATTTACCCTTTTCTCTTGACTGTCCTTCCATTCCGAATTCTTCGATTTAATCTAAGGTGAAACAATAATGGAAAATAGAAATAGCAGACGAAAATACGTTCGTTTTTTTTTATTTCAACAAAAGCTAATAAACGAATAAAATATAAATTTTCCTTATATTAAAATAGTTAAATAGTAAACGGACTTTACAATTTAATATTAATACAGTATTATAATTTTCTCACCACATGTAGTAATTATATGTTTATATCTAATGTAATAAAGCGACATTGATCATTACTATTCAAATAGAAGTCTATTTCTTACAGAAAAACAAACTCGCAGGCCTACATTCTAAAGACATGTTAAAAATGTAAAAATATCAAAAAACCTGAAATATTTCATGTCATGCGAGTTGACGAAGTTTGAATTTAACGTATCCTAACATCACCATGACCTTGTTGAGCAGTAGATACTGTATAAACACCTTCTTTTTGTAAAGATGTTTATTATTTTTATCCTTATTATCTATACATACATTGGATACATATATATTTTTTTTTTTTCTTATATGTTTTCAGTTCGTTAAGGCACTTGCCTACGAATTACATTCATGTTTTATACATCATTTTGAAGCCCTATTGAATCTATATACTATTTTATCTTATTTAAAATAATTAGAAGCTAAAATGTGCCCAATCTCGCTCTTTCCGTAGTGGTGTCCCTCCCTGTTATTCTTAAACACTGATTTTATTTTTTTCAATATTCAATATTCAACAATAAACTCAACAACGCTTATAATTCCGAATGTATTTTATTTACGTTTTTCCTGTTGTCACAACCAGAGCTGTGGAGTCGGAGTCCAGTGTTTATTTATCGACTCCTCAACGTTGGTCACAATAACCGATCAGATAATCTTAAATTTCGTACATGGAATCTCGGGGAATTAGTAACAAGTAGAAGAGAAAACAATATCGTTTAATGAATTAATAATTTCATTCATAAAATTNGTGTTGTTTTTCCACTTCTCTTCCTTTTTTCCCAAGGATCCTTTGAATCCAAAACGTATTGATATTCTATTATTTTTCCATAAGAGAGAGAACACACAGGCGGTTTCCATTCTATTCCCACGAAATTCTCTTCAATTCTGAAAACTTTTACGTTCTGAGGAGGTCCACCGGGAACTGTATTCAAAAACTTTCGCCTTATATATTTTTAACTTTTGATATTTATCTTTAAAGCTACAGGACTTACCACTTTCTTTGGTCATAACATTTACAGAAACTTCTTCCCCTTCTTTTACTGTTAGTGCAGAAACACTAATCGTGTATTTAGAAGTTGGATAAGTTTCAATGATAATTGAATTTTCGTTTGCGTCAACAACTTTCGTTAAAACAGAATTATTAACTGATGTGCAAGAATGAAGCCATTTTTCTTGTCGATAACGTACGATGTATTTGACGATGATTCCGTTCTCTTTGTTAGGCTTGTCCCAGGTGAGATAAACCCGACTATCGGTAACATTGCGTGCATTTAAATTTTGCACCTTTGAAGGAGCTAAATTAAAATGAATTTAACCTTAAAAATTAAAATAACAAAACATCTTATTTAATAAAATATTTCTAACTTACAATTATTTTTGATAAGCTATAATATTGGAAAGTGTTATTAAACTTTATATTTTACTCAATTTACATAATGTATTTTTAAACAAATTTTTACAGATTTAATTCAACCTTATTACAAGCATAAATTTGTAATTATAAAACATAAAACAAGTATTCTATAAGGATATACAGAGAATAGCGTTTTCAGATAGTCTACTGTCTAGAATAATGAATCTATAGTAACAGCAGATGCTGATTTGTATATTGTCAGTTGAAATTGAAATTATCCAGGCTGCAAGTTCCTCGTGACTGAGATGTAGTTCATGTGTCTTTTCTATCATAGGATAACAATGTATGATTCTCATCTTTCAAGATGAGAATCATACATTGTTATCCTATATCTGATACATGATTGTTATCATATCTGATACATGATAACCTAATAAGATATTAGTTATAAAGACTATTTTAGAATTAAAGTAGGCAAAAATGTAGGTACAGTTTTTGTAGGTACACGAAGACAACACTTATAAACTTAAAAAATACTAATTTGTAAAATGGTAACTGCTGGCGTCATCAAATGTACATTTAAATAATATTACTGTATTAAAGTGAGTATTAATCGATTTTTTCCAGTTTTAAAAATAAAAAAAGTTGGTTTTGCCCTGTATTCGAACCCCGACTTATATTCGAGTCCGATTAAAGTTTCTTTCGATTTTGGTAACTAGTAATCAGTGACAGACAGGCCAGGGTGTCAGCTTTCCAGATGGCAAGCGAACACCCTTAAACATTTGACAATAATTAAAAAATAGAAGAAACTATAAACCTCTTCGTTACGTCCTTTCACACACCTCAAAAATACAACTCTGTTCATTAATACTCGTATATTACTTTCCCAGCTCTGTTATATATAACAGAGGAAAAGTATGGCGATCGGTCAAAAAATAACCCCTCTCCAAAGATTCTTACAATTTGGATTCAGAGGACCTTGAAACGTCCAGAAATGCAGAGAAAAAAAATTTGAGGGTTTTTTTCTGTATGTGTACAAAGGATGTTAGTGTCTGGGGGCAAGATTTTGTTTACTCTCTTTGAAGTTAATAGTTCTTGTGTTTTTTATCGAAAATGTCTGAAATTTTGTAGATAGCTTTGTGTATTATGGAAATTTATGCTATTAAATTTTGGTGATTATAGGTAGAGAGGGGAAGAGTATCTCCCCTGTCATCATTAAGTAGGGTCATACTTAATGATGATTTTACACGTTATTAGAATTTACAAAATTTTACAAAAACCATTCCTACCCTCAAAATTAAGTGTTTTACTATTTATAATAATTAAAAATATAAAAAGTTTTTTAAATAAAATATCATAACAGATGACGCCACACGCAGTTTTAAATGTCACCGGGAAAGTTAAGCAACTCAGTGTTGAAATTTTTAAATTTGCTCCAGAATTTAGCAACTTTTGTGCAAACAACATGCAAGAGAATGACTGTATGGATAGAAGTTGTTAGAAAACATCTAGCACAAAAAAGAAAAAAAATGAAACGAGTAAAGGTAATGGGTGAGACATGATCAAGAAAATCCAATGCAGCAACAACTATATTTGAACCTTTTGATGATGCAACTGTCAGTACTTTTGTAAATATATTCACATGCTTATCAATGATACGAAATTCAGACAAGTTTGATGCAAAAACAAAATAAGAAACAAATGTTTACTAAATAAAGTTTTGTAGATTCAGCTACAACAAAGTTGAAGGAACAGACAAAAACATTTGATAATTTCACAGCAAGTTATTAGAATTTGTAAATAAATGTATGTCAAGATATCAGAGTTGAATATGGATGAAAATTAAACATTAATAATAAAAGGTTAACTTATATTCAAGACCTAATTTTTTCAAACAGTAAGGATTCTAAAATAGATTTACAGTATATTCGAGCCAATATAGTATATTATAAAAAATAGCAAATGTCTATGACTACAGACATTAGAGTTGTGATTTTAGTTTGTATCAATGATTTGAATAAGACATAAATATAGATTGGTCATTTTACATGATTTAAGAGAGGGTGTGAATGTACAGAGGGTGACAGTACACAAGTCTGTTTTCACACAGTTTCCACAGTTTAATCTTACAGAAGAATGTTCCTCGTTTACAAAAGTAGATGTACTGTACCTAGACCTATACTGTAGACCTATGACAACTGAACCGATTCTACAGTATTACTGATGTTTAATTGAAAGTATAAATACAAAAGTTTATTTCTGTATGCACACATAAGGGAAACACAACATAGAACGTTTAATGTGTTTCCTATAATTGTTGTGAAGTTTATCACAATTGCATCTAAATAAAATTATTAACTACTAACATAACAAAGTACTATAATATTATTATAGCAGTTATTTAATTTGAAATAAACAATATCAAAAAATAAGTAACTTTTAGTGTACACTTTATAGTGTATTTGTAGACACAATACCTTTAAATTATTTTATTCATAATTCATAGTCGTATTTTTTTCATAAATCAAAATGTTTGAATGCCTATAAACTCATAGCACATAATGTTGAAGAAATAAAAATGAATAAAATTAAATTTAAAAAAACTTTTAGGAAATTCCCAAAAATATTCTGCTTTTAATGTATTAATTTATTTACACATTTAAGATTGAATTTAAATAAAGTATAAAAATAGCATTAAAGTTTAAATAACTGAATGCATTTTAAACTTTAAAATGAAATAATTAAATAGAACTTGCCATCTTGAGCGGAGACAACATTTATCAACGATGACCATTCACCAACACCAAAGTCGTTAGCAAATCTCAGCATTATATTCCATTTCGTAAATGGCTTCGTTTTTATGATAAAACTGTTATTTACCGTGTGATTAAGGAAGCTTTCTCCATTAGAAGAATTATAAAATATAATAACTCTAATATAATTGCAATTCCAAGTTTCTTGTGGAGGAAACTGAAATTTAAACAGAAGAAAATTTTACTTTTTTACAAAAAATTATATTAGTATAATCATAAACAGTATACGTTAGAATGTTATAATAATAAAACTACAGGAACATTCACAGAATTATGTTTTATTAGAGTAATATAATACTTTAGATTTTAAAATTTGTTTAATTAAAGTTAATCAAAATAAACGTCGGAATGTTATAATAACACCTTTTTACCACTACGCACATTATGTGAACTTCACAAAAATTCACATTCGAATGAAGAAATTGTAATAATTTCAAGTTAAATAATAAATTATTAATATTACATAGCCACAAAAGATGGATTAAGCGAACGTAGATAAACGTTTCTCGAAAGAACCATTATGTCACTAATCACTCGTGATCTATTCCTTAAATCGGGATGAAGGCTCAGAAAAACGAGCATTTGAACACGAAAGACTTTTTCTACATCAGATCCTAGGTATCTGATCAGCTTGCTGAGAATTAGAAATGTAGGCTACTTCTCTATATACTGTACTTCTAATAGAAGATGTTCAGTGTGGATGAGGTACTGACATCACATGTAGGATGAAATCTAGGGTTTTAATCTCACCGTAACTGTTCAAGAAAAATTTATCCTTGACAATTTAAAGTTTCGATCTAGATTATCTTTAACCTGGAACAGTGCTTTATTCAAGTCGTTTTTGTGGTCTGTTTGCTGTTTTCTTTTTTAATTATTCTGTCTATAACTTTTATTGGAGCGATATTTAATTGTGTAATTATATTTCATCCATAAGAGAACAGAAAATAATTGAAAGATTTTTACAATAAATATAAATACTTGAATATAAAACTGTTGTAATAAAATCCAGCTGTCTACACGATCGTAGCAACTGTAGCCATTCATATTTATTTTTAATCAACATTCATAATAGTACATTTTTAACCTTGTAGTTTGAATTTTTCATTGGTGTAATTAATCGTTTAACTTAAATATAAAATACGTCATGTCGAATTGAACACTTGAAATTCTAAAAGTATTTTATAGCCACTCATTTTCTATTCTATGACATATTTTAATCTTAAAAAGATGGCTGTGAAATGGACAGAAAATGCTCAGTGTTATTTTAATTTATATATACAAAATTTAAAATATACCTTCCAATTTACGATTATTTGTGTTGGAGACGTCGTATTTACTGAAATGTCCTTTGGTAGCTCTTCCGGAGCTGAAATGAAAAGTATTTTAAAATTATGAAATCTTAATATTAACCCAACAACGACTACAGTATATATATTAATAATATATCTATATTAAATACAGTAGACCCCCCTATAACGCTTAGATACGTTCCACGCTAACCGAAAATTACGTTGTAGGAACGATTAAATACATGAGCCAATCGCAGCCCGATAGGTGGGAACTTTACGGACTAAGGCTGTTCGAAAGGTTTTCTTCTATAAAATTAACCGATTCTAGACTAATTCGACTCAACATTTCCAAAACACGTATAATTTTTTGGGAGTAATCCGTA